CGCCATTTTATTAGTGTTCTCTGTGGACTACAGGCGTATCTTTCTGAATTATCAAATTATTATCATTTTTATCTAAAACAATTTCATGATTTAAACCAATATATACTCTATCAATATTTTTGAATAAACCAAATAATCTATTCAATGGTAAAATCATACTAAATTCTTTTGAATCTTTAGTTATTTCATATCTATTCTTAAATCCTTTATTATACTTTTCATTTTTATTTAATTTGGACACATTATTTTCAACTGAAATTTTATATTTATCTATATCTTGATTATCAGATGTATCAGGATACCAAAAACTAATAGGTGCAATACTTTTTGAATAATCATCCGAAAATTCAGTTAAATTTAAAATATTAGTTGTTATACCTGGATATTCTAAATCTTCAATAATTACACCATTTATTTTATATTGACATCTTCTAAATAAATTAAATCCATTATTTACTAATGTTACTTTTTCACTATCTGATAAATTATTACCATTATCTTTTAAAATTTTACCTTTTACATAAATAAATGATTCATTTGGATAAATATATTGATTTATATCTTTAACTTGTAAATTGAATGTAGATTTATTATCATTATAATTTCCAGTTACTTCTTCATATTCTTCAAATGATTCAGATTCAGTACTTTCATCAATACAAATTTTTTGATTTAAATCCCAATATGGTGATATTGTTCTTATTTCAGTCATTTATTTGAATTATTTTTAATAATATTTATACCAGAACCTTTATAAATTAAATCTTTAAGAAATTTTTTATTTGATGCATTTAAACTTGAACCTTTATATGAATCTTTCAATCTATTTTTCAAATTATTCAATGATTTCTTAGTATTATCAGAGATATCTTTAGGATTATCAATTAAATTCGTAATAAATTCTTTTCCTGTTTCATTAACAATATTTTTACTTTTAGATAAATTTGCATCTATTAATTTTTTACCAGTTGGATAAAAATAATTATTCATCATATACTTTGAACCTTTTAACATTTTTCTACCTAATGATTTCAAATTATCTGATAGAATACCTTTTCCTAAAATTTCATTTTCTTTATCCAATATCAATTCTATATTTCTATTTACTATAAAAACTCTGTGTACAGGATTGAATATTATCATTTATTTAAATTATATTTTTAAATTGTTCATGATGTTTGTATGAAACCTATCCAAAACTTTTTATCATATAATGTCCATGTGCTAATGTATTTATACCATCGTTAAGAATATATCTTTTATCATCAAAATTCGATAAAGCTATTTTATCTATTTCATATGTATACATGTTCAATTTGTTAGATCCTATTTTTTGAAATTTACAAGTTATTAATTTACTATCATATAATGTTTTAATCCATATATCTTTATCAAAGTAATCACGTTTATGTTTTGGAATACCTTTAGTTCTAGCTTTTTGTATAATTTCATCATCATTTTCAGTAAAATATGTATACATTTTTGATCTTAATCCAATAAATTCATTAATAACTTTTCCATTAGATTCATCTTTAAAACAACCCAATTTCTTTTTATTTAAACCTACAGGTATATCCATAAGATTTTCTTTTTCATAATCTGATGTATCAAAATATTTTTCAATATGTGGTTTAATATCTTTGTAGAAGTCATCTGTTATAATATGTAATAATATCCCATCAGTATCTGTTTGTATTATTTCAGCATTTTTACCCCATATCTTTTTAACTACATTATATACAAAATCATACATTATATATTTTGAAATTTCTAATATTGAAAATCCTAAATATATTGGTTTATCAAATTCTACTTTAGTTTTTGTAAAATGAATAGCTGTTAAATTTTCATCAATGATTGTTTCACGTTTAAAATTATATCTACCCACAGCATAAGCTGCTTTATCTGCATTATTAAATAATTTTAAATTTTGTCTTTTACATGGATTTTCAATTGTTTTACCATAAATTGCATTATTCATTAATTTAAAAAATGATTTCTCACTTTCATTTTTAGCAAGTGTTCTTAAGTTTGTATTTAAATCAATATATTCTTTGAGAATAGGTGCTTGTGTAAATTTTATACCTTTGTGTATTTTCTTTAATTTCAAACCATTTTCTAAAGCTTGTTTCAAAGTTAAATAATGTAATGTCACCCTATTTTTATCTTCTAAACTCGCAATTAATTTACCAGAACTTTGATATTTTATCACATTTCCATCTTTTCTTTCAGGTGAGTGTATACTTATATTTTTATCTGAATTATCTGTTTTAAAATTATTTGAATAATGTAACTTATATAATTCTATTTGATAATTTGATAAATCTTTTTCTTTAACTTCTTTACAAATAGGTATAAATGGGTAATCATTATGTAAATCATGTAATTCTTTCGGATATTCAAGATCCACATTGAAAATATATCCAATTTCAGAATCTTTATCAAGTTTCAAAATATCTAATTCATTAATTTCTTTTCTACTTAACCATTTAAAATCTTTATAAGGTAATCTGAAAGACATTGCATATCCATATAAATTATTTGCATCTAAAGGTATTATATATGATGATGGTTTGTTTTTATCATAACCTTTCATATATTTATTATTTCCTTTTACATGTCTTTTATTTATACAAGATAATCCACCTCTTATACCTTTATAAATTAACATTAACATATCATGATCAGTAATTAATTCAGGTTTGATATCTTTTTCTTTTAATTTTAATAACATTGCTGAATAACTTAAAGCTGGTGCACTTAAAAAATGTGCAGGATCTAATTTATAAGTTCTAAATGCAATATTTCTATAATTTTCAAAACAATCAGCTAATAATAAAGTATCACAGATATTATAAATTGTTGAATAATCTGCGAATTTTTCACATTTAAAATATTCCCAAACTCTTTTAGCTATTTCATATTTAGCTTCCTCCAAATCTTTATCTAATAATTTATTTTTGAAACATTCAATATTAGGAAGCTTTTCATAATTCAATTTATCGAAAGTATCCATCCAATCATAAGGAAATACACCTTTACTTGTAATTATATTGAACATTTCTTCTGATATATCTTTATAATACCATCTTACATTTTTAAATAAATCAGATGTTAAATTTCCAGCCATTTTTTCAAGTGTTTCACCTGTATGTCTTATTGTATCTTTGAATACTACTTTTGTATATTGACCAGATTTTTTCGCTGATATACAAAAGAATGTTTCTTCTGTACTTGGTATAATATCTAGTTTATTTATATCTTTTCTTGCATATAATTTTTTTGTAAATAATTTGAAATCATATTTAGAACCATTATGTAAATAAACTGGTATTTCTTTTGATATTTTAGCGTTAATATTACAATTTCTATGAGCAGCACCTCTAAATTTTCCAGTAATATGACAATGATCCCGTACTTTAATATTATTGTCTTTGATTAATTTATTACAAAAAATACAATTTTCGGAATTTTTAAATATATTCTCTTCTTCTAAACTCAATTTTTGTAATTTTCCAAATTCATCAATTTGTTTTTCAAGATATTCGACAATTTTATCTTGTTCTTCAAAAATATAATTTATAAAAGTTTCTGTCGTTATTTCTTCATTATCACCTGTATAATGTCTCAAACTTTTATAATCTTCTCCTATTGCAAATATAGTAAATTCATAAGGCTTATGTTTATTAATTTTTATTGTTTTCAAATCAGGATTTGTATTTTCTCTTTCATCTTTAATTTTATAACTTAAACATTCAAAATCTGAATATATAACTATTGGTATTTTCTCTTGTGCCTTTCCTTTTTTAAATTCAAGTACTGGTTTAACAAATTTAGGTTGACCATTTTCATCTTTTATCAAATCACCATTTTCATCTTTCAATGGCTTCCATTTTGGTAATTTTAATAATGGATTACCTGAAGAATAGAAATAATCACATTCTTTTACATGTTCTTTAAATCTAAATTCTAATTTTGTCATATAATCACATCTCATACAATGATACTTTCTACATTTATCTCTATTATATTGACTCCCTAATAATTTATTAATATCTTTAATATAAACATAATGATAATCTTTTTTCTTAGTTTCTTCATTTTCACCTTCTATAATTAATAAATTAACATGATCAGCATATATCTTTTTAGGAATTCTCAATAGATCCAAAACAAATTCTTTACCATCAATAACATCATCACCTTCTATATTTGTTTTACCTATATAATATTCATATATTTTTATTGATACTTCATTTTCTTCTTCAAATTTATCTAAATCTGTTAATTTAACTGGAAATTTCAAATTATCAAAATTATAACAATCTCCCCTTTTTTCAAGGTTTTTATATTTACTTACCCTTTCTGGATTATCACCAATTATTTTTTGATATTTATTATATAACATACAATACATAAAACATTTATTATCTTTATTTTTTATATTTATTGTAGCTTTTTTTACTTGTAATTGCTTAGGTGATTTTATATATGATGAACCTTTTATTATTTTAGCTTTTCTCAATTTAAAATCTATATGTTCAATCATTCTTAATTGATAATATTGTTGTCCATCACTCCATTGATTAATTGTATTATTTATCTCATTAAAAGCTATTTTTATTGTTTCATCTACAATATTTAAATTTTCTTTATATTCTAAATCATTATTTTCAAAATCTCTTAAATAATCAATTCTAGAATTATGTGAATACACCATTTTTTCTATTTCTATTCCATTTTTTACGTGTCTGAATTGGCCACCTAACACAACTTGTAAATTTATATGTTTTTTATTTTTCAGTAAATAGACAAAATTACCTTTCAATCTATCCGGTAGAATTTTACGAATTTCGTTTATATGAATATATACATTTTTCGGTACCAACCTCAATGTTATGAATACATCTTCTAAACTCTTTTCATATATGTAAATTTTAAAATTTTCATCTTCAGCAACAACATTCCCAATATCATAACTTCTATCATTTTCATTTTGTTTTACATTTATAATATCATTTTCATTTACAGCATTTTCAGTATCAATATTTTCAGTTGCAATATTTTCTCTTTCATTAACAGGTATATTTTCAATAATAGCTTTTTTTTTCTCTAAAGCTTTCAAATGTTTTTGAGTTGTTTCATGTCTTTTAAAATTTTTAATAATAATTTCCATATCACAAATCTCACATTTTTTGTACTTCTTTCTTTCATGCGTATTCATTTCATTAGAATTAGAATTAGAATTGTCATTAGTGTTATTAGATATATTTTTTAAAATTTCAGCATCTCTATGTTTCAAACTTTTATAATGTCTTTTTAAAGTATTATTATCATAGTATTCTCTTTCACAAATTCTACAAAAAGATTCAGCCATTTATTTAAATTCATTTTATTTAACAATTAATTTTTCATGGTTTTAAAATTTCAACATCTCTATGTTTCGAAATTTCAGTATCTCTATGTTTTCAATTCATTTTTTTTATTGTTAAATAAAATGTATTTAAATAAATGGAATACTTAAGACAATGTAAAAGTTGTAATGTGATCATGAATGTGGAAAATTTTTCTAGAGATCATTGTTATACTTGTAAATCATGTAAAAATGAAAAAGTTCGTAAAAATTTTGGATCAGAAATAATTTGTGAATGTGGTATAAAGGTAAAGAGACGCTCTATATATTTACATCTAAAAACAAAATTACATGCTAGAAAAATGCTTATAAAAGATTACATAGGTATGAATAATATTGAAGTTTTTTAAATATAAGGTGGGG